AAAAAAATAAAATAAAAAAGCGCCACTGTCTTATCTATTTCCATCTTGACCCAAATAATGGAGTATGAACCTCTTATCTGGCACATATCCTTCATCAGTCATGAGCTTAAAAAGTTGAGCTAAAACCCCATAAATCATCTCAGCTTGTGGATGGATTCTGTCCCAAACAACAAAGCTGTGAACTTTCTTATCTATCTCAATCCAACTAATGCCTGTTTCTTTTGCTATCCCCATCTCCTTCATTCTCTTGAAAGTCCTTGCTCTCTCTTTCCATTTCCCTTCAGAAGAATATATGTTGGCCAGCAAAACGTATGGCGCAGGGCTCTCAGGTGCCGCTGCAATTAACTGCTCAGCAGCAAATGTTCCCGTCTCGGAATCAGAATGAAAACTACAAGCGCCGAGGAGCGCTTGCCAAACCAGTGGACCAGGCTCGTCCGGCAATTTTTCAATGAAATCTTTAGCTTCAGTAAGAAGTGCTGCTCGACCTAACATGTCAACTACACAAGCATAGTGTTCCTTCCTTGGGCTTATTCTGTGATCTTTAGTCATGGAGTTCAAGAACGCCATGCCCTTCTCAACTAATCCTACATGGCTACAAGCATGAAGCAGAGACAAAAATGTAACGTCTGTTGGCTTCACGCCTTCCATTTTCATCTCTTCATACAATCGTAATGCTCCAAAACCGTCCCCATGGCGAGCAAAAGTGGCAATCATGGAATTCCACGAGATTGGGTTCTTATGAGGCATCTCACTGAAGACTCTGACCGACTCCTCCAATTGTCCGCACTTGGAATACATGTTTATAAGACCATTGTTGACATAAGGATTGTAACTGAAATTCCTTTTGACAATTAGAGCATGGATTTGTTTCCCTAGTCCAAGAGAAGTGTCGTTACCAAACACTCCAAGAACCGCTGACACCATGTTCGTGTCGATTTCAATCCCTGCCGTCACCATTTTCTTAAAGATTTGGATAGCTTCTTTCTCAAACCCATTTTGTGCAAATCCCACAAGGATAACAGTCAAGGCAACCTCATCAAGCTCGTCAACGGACTCAAAAATCAGCCATGCATCTACCATACTACCACATTTCGAGTACATGTCCATCAGTGCACTCTCAAGGCGCAAGTCTGAATCAATTCCCAGCTTCCATAGAATCGCATGAATTTGACGCCCTTCACTTAATGCCTGCAGACCCGAACATGCCATAAGTGAGCTCAAATACGTTAAAGAATTAGGACACACAGTCCCACTCCGCATCAACACAAAAAATTCCAAACTCTCTTTATAGAGTTCATTCCGTACAAGTCCTGAAATCATGGCTGTCCATGTAATAACATTCCTTTCGAGCAGCTCATCAAAAACCCGCCTTCCTGAACTAGAGCACCTGCATTTGAAATATGATGTTATCAATGAATTTTCCACCGCAGTTTCCTGCTCGTAGCCACACCGGAAAACTAAGCCATGTATCATCTCATTTAAGTAACCAAACTCTGGTCCATCTAAAGCTGATAAAATTGTAGTCAATGTAGCTTTATCAAATCTATGAAAACCCAATTCACGCATTCGTTTAAAGCACCCAAAACCATTTTCAAACTGCCCATTTCTCAAAAACCCTGAAATAACCGTATTCCACGAAACTGTATCCTTCAGAGGCATATCATCAAACAGTTTAACGGCATTTGAGAAATCACCACATTGTGAGTACATAAATAGGAGAGAGTTCCAAACAACAAGAGAATTACGGATTATATCCTTGTTTTCCGAGTCAAGAAATTCATATTGCTTGATTAAAGAAGCCTGAATGGAAGAACCCAGACGGAAGTAGCCTTGTCTTCCGCAATGGGGGAGAAGACGGCTTATGGCTACATGATTGAGAACAAATGTGGAGGTTTGTGAAGATGGGTTTTCGTGGATTCTGGCTTTGAAGGGAGAGAGGAGAGAGGAAGCCCAAGATGGCAAGCGAGAGGAGAGGCTGAGGAAGACCCATCTGGATTTCATCCATCAAAGGGACTCAGAGACACCAACAACTTCGGCTTTGGTGTGTTGAGGCAGTTACCTATGAGTTAAAAGACAAGTGAGTAGTGACAAGTGCAGTGAGAAGGGCCTATTTATTTGGAGGGTATTTTACATATTTGCTCGCTTTATTTGTATAGTTTTAACAACTTGCCACATAAATTTTTAATTTTTACAAATTGTTTCTTCAACTTACAAAATTATTATAATATGCTCATTTTAATGATAATTGTGTTAAATTAGTGCCGAAAAAGCACATTCTACGCATAACTTTTAACATCCCAATTTAAATATAACGTAAAATTTTTAATTATTCAACTTTTAATCCCTTAAATTTAATTAAAAACTTTGAGCAAATTTAGTGAAAGAAGGCACATTGTAATATTTTACAAATTCAGGGGTTAATTATAGAAATTAAAATTTTAAAAGGTAATTTACTAAACCACAACAAGTTTAAAAAAGCAATTGTGCTACAAACTTTTATTTAAATAGACTATATATAGATATATATATTTATATATCTTATGTATACATGTGTATTACATTTGTCCTATATTTTTTTTATGAAATCCTAAAAATTTTTAGGGAGTGATAAGTTATTCCCTAAACTTCTACTTTTAATAAACTCTCTCTTAAATTTAAAAATGTGTTGCTAGCTCGAGAGAAAAAGAAGTGTTGCTAGTTTGAAATTCATAATTACACTTGAAATTTATGCGGTACATATCACACTTTTAAAAAGGTAGATATTTAAATTTCCGAGGACGATGAAGATGTCACATGCGAGGAAATTTCTTTCTAAATTTAAAGTCTTTTTTTATTGCCGTGAGGGATTTTTGTAACATTTTGTTTTTATTAATAAAGAATTCATTAAAATTAAAAATAAGTAATTCATCAAATTTTTTTTTTAAAGTTCAAAAAATAAAACCTCCAAAAACCCCATTTATATATATATAACAAAACAACGACAAAGATCTATATCACGGAAAAAGCACTTGGGGGTTTATAATATTTATGTTAACTTATTTAAGTCAGAGTTTAACACCGATGCCTTGAAGTGCTTGGTTCTTGGTTGGATCTATCTATATGGCTACTTGCTTTTTGAGCTCATTCATTCGCCTGAACTAGGCTTTATAAATTTTATTCAACTTGAAAAGTGTTATTTTCAGACTGTTAAATTTTATTTTGCTGTTTTATTCCGACTGTTAATTGAAGAACCTTATTGCAAATTGCAAGAAATGTTTCATCAATGGAAAAAGAGGAAAAGCTGATCACGAAAAAGTTGTGGATCTCAATTCTCAATTCCATGCATTGGTTCTTATTCTCTCGGACAAAAAAAAAAAAAAAAAGGAAAAAAAAAATAGAAAAATGAATTTGTAACATGGGCATATTAATTAGTA